GCCTTGTTGAACTCCATGAGGTTGGCAGTGGCCCACCTCTCCTGCCTGTCCAGGTCCCTCTGGATGGCATCCCTTCCCTCCAGTGTGTCGACCGCGCCACACAGCTTGGTGTTGTTGGCAAACTCAAACCCACTGTCCATGTCGCTCTTAAAAAAGAGGAATATTTTTTTTTTTCCCTGGCAATGCAAGCTAACATCCCTTTTTTTACATTTGGGAACAGCTGAGCAGAGAGAGAGTAATTGTTTTTTGTCAGAAGTTAGTGAATTGCTACGATAAACTGCAGAACAGAAAGATCTGAGAACAGAAAACAACACTGTACTCTGCACTGCTGAGTTTTTCAGGCACTACTGACTTCACTGGATTAAGTTGCTATACAGATGGAATGATTGCAGTATGCAAAGGTGGATCTTAGTCTTAAAATGACCAAGAGTATTTGCCTCCTTCATCTTCCCTATTCCTATAAATGTGACTAATTATGGTGAAGCAGGTTGAGGACCCATTGAATGAAGTGAAGCATAATGACTGTCAAGAGTTAAGATGTTCTGTGTCTCTGTGTAAACAAGGATTAAATGCTGGGTTTAACTACAAGTTAGTTTTATTGCTCTCATTTGTTTTATGGATTCTTTACCACCCATTACTTAATTAAACTGAAAACACAAGCCTGGCTTTATCATTAGTCAGCCTGTGAGCAATTAGTAGGTGTCACTGAACCAACTCTTCGTGAGGCTTGACAAACATTCACTTTGGGGATAAGAATTGCTTATTGGATTTGGCTTGGCTATCTCGAAATCAATGTGTGCTGTCAGACCCTGAACAGTGCACTACTGCACAATATATGGACCATAAAATATAGGTTCAGTGGGCTTGGTTTGCTATTGCATTTCATCAGTGTTATAAACATACACCAAGGCAAAACCAGAGTGACACACAGTTGAATCAGCCTTCTTGTGCCCCATGGAAATACCCTGCTTCTTCGCAAAACTCTTTCCACAGAAAACTTTCTACATGATATCATCATATTTCTCCTTACTGACACTCTTTAACCCTTTCTTTTGGAGCAATAGCCAGTAATAGATGTGTTCTTTGATATCACTGGCTGTTATAGTATACTTTTTTTCTCTTTTCCTTTCCTTTTCAAGGATTTGTGTTTGTGTCTGTGTGTCTTTTTTTAATTCTACCCTGTAAACAATTTCAGCTTGTTGAGTGGAGTCACTGAAATTTTTGCTTGGTACTTTAAGGTTTGTCCTTCACTCCCAGCATTTTCCATCTGGGAAGCCAGAATCTGAGATCCCTCCTGTGTTTAATTTAGTCAGCCTTTCAGATTAGCTCACCACTGCCCGTGTGTGTGAGAGAGCAAATGAAACTGAGCACGAGCTTCGTGATTACTGTACCTAACAAGACTGCGGTTTAAATTTTCTGTAAGAACAACAGATTTGGCTTAGAGAAACATTTTATTCTTGTAAACTTCTCTACAGACACTGAGAAAAAGAGCAAACAAACAAGAAAGCCTTGAGTGTAAAAAAGGTATTGGGAACAGAAGTTTTCTCCTATGGGAGTTCCCAGGTGATAGGCAACCTGGGCTTGTTGAGCTATTTCTGAGACAGGCAGGCAGCTTGCTGAGTCAGTGCTCATTCAGTGTGCTTCAAGAATGGATTAAAAGCGGTGAAGAATATGCTTTGCTTCATCAATAGGATATTTTTTTTCCTGAAACTGTTTTGAGCAGCTTTGTCTAGAGGAAATGGAGACAACTGCCATTACCACATAAAAGCAAGACCACTTCCTCCAGGACAAAAGCCACAGGTATATGGGTCAAAACAGCAGCTGGAGGTTTTTTCAAATGTGTGAGCTTTTAATAAGCAGACCCAGAGTAATTAGAGAAGGCTTGCACCAGACCACCTGGAAGCAAGCTTCAGCTGTTTACCAATAATGATAAAGCACCTCTGCCTAACCTTTCTTGTTACAGGAATTTTACACAGCTTGATTTAATCCGGGCTGAGATAACAAGCCTCAGATATGAGGTTCTCTGGAGACTTTGTTGAGCTGATTTTCCAAATAAGCACCATACTTTTAATATTGTTGTAAATGCACGTTAATTACCCAGGAACGTTAGACGTATTTGGTAAAGATGGTTGTCACAGCAGTTGTTGCCATGCTACATGGTCTGTTTTGCATTTGGGTTTTTTTGGTATGACAATATTACAGAATAGCATACTCACTGTGGGGAGAAAAGAGACTATCCGCCAAGCCTCTTTCTTCCTAATATGGTGAAATAAAAAGCCTTGTTTTGAGCTAGCTGAAGTGCTGATAGAGTCAAAGTCCAAGGATCAGTCTGGTATGGTGTGTGAAGAGCACAAGGGTCATGGTCAAGATTCACACTGGGAGGGCAGGAAATGTTTAAATTCCCTGACCATGACTAAATGATGGGAGACAGTGATGCTATCAGGGGAAAAAGCCGTCTTCTCATCCCAGTACGTGTTTATTTCTAGACTGGCAAGAGCATTCCCTGGTGTGGGAGCTCTGGGCTGTGCTATATAGCAGATGTAGGGACTTATTTTCACAAAGGTTCATACTAAGCAGGGATATGACTTACCCAGTGGCAGCAGCGTGGGGGGCTCAGGCAGAGCCCTGGGCTACAGAAGAGGCTGGGGAGGGACAGGCTGCGGTGAGAAGATGAGCACCTGCTACATGCCTGACATCAGGCTTGGCATCTCTGCTTGCAGAGCACCTGACGAAAAGGGGCCCCAAATGCCATCAGAGTGCCAGTTTTGCCTTTTTCCTTATTTGTGTTCATTATCACCTTTTAAACAGAAGAGCACAGCTATTCACCGCAGTAAGCAATTGGCCAGTGGACTTGTTTCCCCCGTCCCCACCAGCTCTCAGCTGCAGAGGTGGGATTTTTCTGGCTGCTTCTCAGGGGTCCTGCTTCTCCGGGGCCCTACTTCTCCTGCTTAAAACCTCTGCTTGGAACAGTATTAACTCATGACATTTAAGTCCTGTGAGACTTACATATTTTCTTTTTCCAAGCTGATGCTGATGCAGGGAAGAGAGAGAGGTGAATCGATGAAAAAAACAGAGGCAGCCACTTCCGGACACATAATTCCAGTAATTACAATTTATCAGATACCTCAGTCATCTGAGGCTTTGTGAACAAAAGCCGACTGAAACGCTCACGTCTCCCCAGAGGGGGAGTTACATGGAAAGCACTCAAATAGCTTTAACCGCACTCGTGTCACAATTTCTTCTCAGGTTTGGTGCCTGTGGCTTGTTCTAATTATAACAAGGACAGTTTCAGCTCTATGTTTAAAAGCAAACAATCATTTGCTTTCTGTGAGGGACAGAACCACTGAAGGTAGCACTGCTCTTCCTGTAGGATGTGTCTCCAGAGCACCATAGTACATTTTCTTCTGCTGAAATACTGTCACCCATCAGCAAGCTTTGCTTCCCAGCAGCTGAACAAGAGCACATGGACACCTTTGGCAGCCAAATCTTCCTTATTACACCTTCCTGTGTTCAAAAAGGGGTGAAGGCCTGAGTCTTGCCTTTTTTTAAGCATTGATAATGTTCACAGATGGATTTGTCGTGCTCCATTGTTTCCATTGTAGCTCTCCAAACTTGGACTCAGACCTAACCCAGAAGGAATTGCCTGGGACCACCCAGATGAAGCAAGGAGGCCCCAGGAGCCTCAGGGAAGCAGCCAGCCCTTCCCTGATGAGGGCAGATACAGAAAAGGCAGCAAGCACACAGGAGTAAAACAATGTCTAGTCAGCTTTATTAAATAATATATTGTTTGTATGTCCATTACAAAAAGTTTGACAACGAGGGGAATACTGAAAAGGAAGTATCTTTCTTTTTTTAGTGGATTAAAAGTGATGCCTGTGGTTTTAAACAAAGACCTGTTGGCAGGATGATGCCATAAGGAAAAGGAAGAGAAAGGGAAACTGCATTTGAATTAATTCAGATAAGTGAAGGCCAGAAGACCTTATGACAGAATTTTCCATTAATTCCTGTAATCTAGCTCTCTGCCATAACTGCATTACCTCCTGACTCCTTTGTACAAATATTGTTGTGATTATTATTACTGTTTACTGTAACTGCTGTAATTACACTTGCAAAAGCTGCTTACAGTATTAAAGCCATAACAATGCTAAAGAGCAAAGTCAGAGAAGATTCTGTAGTGGTTATTTTATAAGACTTTAAATGAACTTGTGTAACTGTCTTCAGCTGCAAGAGTTTACAGTGGTAAAAGACAAGAACAAAGGCGTAAGAAAAAAACTATTTTGTTTTAATTCAATCACTGCATTGAAATTGAAATTTGATTTTTAGTGAATCATAATTCTTTTTGAACCTGTGATGAAAACCTTCTGTTTGGCCTAAAACATATTATTTCATTTCAAAGACACATTTTGTTAAGATTTCATTGATTTTAATTTAATTTTTGTAAAAAAGTTAGTTCTTTTTAAAAGGGTTTACAAATAAAAGGTAATTATACTTCTGCATTAAAATATTTCAAGTTTTAAATTCTTTTCTTCATAATATGCACATTCAGTGGAGCCAAGATGAGTTTGTAAAGTATTTCAGAGTCCCCAAATCTGATTATTTTTCCCCAAAGAAGTTTGAACTGAAGCATTTTAGCCTGTAAGTGAAAGAAGAAGGGACAGAAAAAGAAACTGAGGCATAAATAAGTTAAAATACTTTTCCAGTGTCCCATTGGATGCATTGCAGTGTTAGGAATAGAAATTGCATCTCCTGAGTCCCCCTCTAGGGTGTAAAATGGTAAAGGACATTAAAGAGAGAAATTATTAGGTGCAAAATAAATTTCCAGCCATAACTGCTATGAGCATCAGTGATCATGAAGACCACCAGAACTATGCACTTTGCCTCCAACATCTTGTTCCCTGCTCCCTCAGTGCAGTCACAGATGAAGCCTGTGTGCTCTGTCTGCATGGTACAAGTTAGCATGACAGAAAGATATTTTTATTGTCATCTCTATCTCTTTTCAGGAAGTCTCTCCCTCATTGTCGAAGAATTAACAGGATGCTTTCCAACGAGTCAACACCTCCTCCTGCATTCAGTCGCTCCAACTCACAGGCCTCCATGGACAGCACCTCCATGGAAGACTTCTGGTGCGAAGTGGAGAGCATCAAGGAGAACAGTGAAGATGGATCTGAAGAACCAACGCTCTTGGAGTTCAAACCTGCTGATGGTGAGCACACAACCATCACTTCTTCCTCACACCTTGACTTCGCTTCATCCCTTTAGAGATGTCCTGATTTCCCTCTTTGTGTCATCCAGTCTCAGCAAAAGTATTAGCCTGGGTCTATGATGGTTGTAGCTCTGCTTCTGAACATCACAGTCAATGTACGAGACATCACTGGAAAGAAACAATAATTCTGTCTGCTTTATGCACTGGGCCTGATAATTGACTTATGAAGAGAGTTTTTTTACACTGGTTTTATTTGTGCTTCAGGAGGACACATATGGTGTAATACAGAAAGAGAGGCACTAAATGAAAACTTAATCTGCACCATTAAGTAAACTAAACAAAAACATAAAAGGACAAAAAAATTTCATTTACCATTCTGGAATTTTCAATTTTCTGGCTTTTGGTAGGATAATATGCAGAAGTTATGAAAGTCTTGAAGTTTCTAGTTAGATATCATTTGGTGCTATCAGAAATTTGATAACTGAAGGTTTCTCTGAGATTGCCTAATTTAAATATAATTCAAGGATAGATTGGAGATAAGTCTGAACATATACATGCCTGCGTCATTCAGACTCCCCACTTGTCAAAATTCATTCATCACACAGATTGTGCTGAAGGTATTACTACTTCCTTCTGTTACCTTAACATTTTCGCCTCTCCTTTTTTGTAATGTATTTGGAAAAAACATGTAATAGTCTGCACTAGCTTGTTGCAATGCAGCTTTGTGTTAGATGGTTTGATAACCCTAAGAACAGCAGTTCTTATTTTTTTCTAGTTATGGCCCCACTTACAAATGCATTATATTATGCAACACAAAATACCAGGTGTTATTATAGGATGAAAATTAATTTCTTTTGCGGTCATGACACACTGGTTACTGCTGCAACCCCTTTGTGGATCATGATCACTGGTCTGATAACAACTGATCTAGGGGTAGATTTTGAAACACTGGTGTGTTCCTTACATACAATTATTAACACAATTGACGATGTATTTTTCTTACCTTGACGTGCAATGAGTTGTCATTAATTCTACTACCAGGAAGAAGGGTGAAAAGGGGGGAAAAGTACTACTTTATTAAGTAACTAATATGTAATTAGTTATGGTAAGCATCCCACACAGAGGTATCTATCTCCAACCATCTGCTGTTTCCATGGGGAACACCTTCCACTCCACTAGTTCACAGTAGGGCTCTCCTGGAAGCAAAAGGAGAAGACCTCCCTCCATTCATGAGAAATCTCTGTCTGCTATGAGGTAACCCTCATGGTCTGGCAGCTGAAGTCCAATCTGCACTTCCTTGTGCTGTCCTGTGGTCTCAAATAAAAATAGATGAAGCTGTAACATTGAAATTGTATGGTTATTGTTATGGGAAGGCAGAAAAGCAGTTTGACCTTATGGGGAAAGTTCCTGTCTGATCATGCTCTCTACCTTGGAGATACCAGAAAGAGATTGTGAACCTCTCAGTGTCTCCTTCATGCAATTGTCAGCACAAATTGGGTGTCCCTGACCTGTCTGTATGGTCAGGGGAATGTCACATATCTGTGAGTTACAGAGCTGAGTAAGTTAGTAGGACAAGGCAGTACAGGAGCACATTTTTCATGTTCTCAGAAACTTTTCTATCAGTTTCATAACTGCTGAGCAAAGTCTTCACAACAGTGAACTCTGCTGCAGTCCCATGCTACCCTTCCTCTGATTATACCTCATTACATTGCATTGATTTTTCCCCTCTGTCCTGAATTAGAAATGAGACTGCAAGTTAAAATGCAATACATCTCCACATTCTATTTACCTTCATACTGTTGTTTTAAACACATATATATTGCATACACCCCCAGACAACCAAGCGGTGCTTGTCCTGGTTATTAACTTCAGGAATATATTTAGTCTGGGATTATAAAACTTGGAAATGATAGTGAGTTCTATTAAGATTCTAATAGGATAATATTCCGTGCCAAGGATCAAAACACTGAAAATCAATGTGGAAGTCCTCAGTGCAAAACAAAACCAAATATTTTTCACCCTTTTGAGATGTCTTTGAGAGGAAGAGATTAAGAATCCTTAAGAAGGAGGCTAAAGGGTGATAACAGCCAGGCACCACTGATACTGCTGAAACCGTAATGACGTTTTTTGCCAGACCACATGTGCAAGGGGAAGACATCAACACACTTACCCTGCTGACATTAGTAACTACGGTCAAGAAAGAACAGAAGATCATAACAAGTGATACAAGGGATGAAAATGTAGGGGAAGAGGAAGTCATGGGGTATTTAAGATGTCAGTGATGTGCAGAACTGCTTTAACACTTGGTGTTACAAGGCTGGCATGCTGAGAGTTATTTGAGGTTATATCTGAAATTCAAAGAAAGGCACACCTCTTTCCTAGCAATCTCTATGAGAAAAAGAGAATTATCAACCAGAGGGAAACCTCTCGATTATCTGTTTGTCTTCTGGTGGAGCAGAATCAGTCACAGTATCAAGACCGTGCTGTATAAGTAGCTACCATTATAAAAATAATGTTTTGTAAAACAACACGTTTTTCTTTTAGCCCTTATTTTAAACCCATGTGTCATAAAATTTTGAGGTGTGGTTTTTTGGGGTGGGTTTTTTTTTTGGTGTGGGGGGTTTTTTGTTTAGGATTTTTGTGGGTTTGGTTTTGGGTTTTGTTTTTTTTTTTTTTTTTTTGTGATGCAGAAATTCCTTCTCTTTAATAGTTTTACTCCTCTGGTTGCTGTCATTAGTTCTTAGTCTGTTGTTTGTGAATAGTTGGAACAGGAAAAGGGAAAAGCCAGAGAAAACAAGTCACAGGGGTGTCTGGTAAGCAGGCACAATTTCGTGTCTGCTTTACTATTTTTCATAGCATCATGAAAGCCCAGTTTGATTAGAAACTAAGTTCTTGGAAAGAATATGTCAGGACGAAAGCCAAAATGAATATAATTTAAAAACTGGAACATTAATGGATGTGGCTAGAACAGTGGCACACGGAAATGAAAAGGGACCTTGTGAGAAAGAAGAGAGTATGGCAGAAGAATCATCAGTTCAAGGAGGGAAAGGAACAGCCTGCCATCCTACTTGTGGATATGGAAAGGATCAGAGAAGAGACAAGTTATTTCACGGGATACAGAGCTGGTCACACTCCATCTAACACAGAGCAGGGGTATTAGAAACATGGATTTTTGTAGAGCTTTGTAAAGAAACAATGCAGCTAACAATGAAGTCAGTGAAAGGCACATGAGTAACATGCTTTCAGTTATGACTGTAGTTCAGCCCTGTAATTTTCTTTTTTGTGTATTTACTACCAAATTGCAGCAAACTGGTATCTATCAATCTGCCTGCATTCTGGTGTCAAGAAGAGGCAATAAAGGGAGAGAGGAAATACCAGCCCGCTATTAAGACCAGTGCTGGGACAAGAACAATCAGTGCACTGACTAGCTGTTTTATAGAACATGCTGCAAATTAATCCATTTCCTGTTTGACATGTTTATTTGGAATACCTTTTCTTCAGTCAAAGCTGGAATGCAATTATTGTCTAGTCTCAAGCAACATATTGCTGAGCTAGGATTGTTCACAGAACTAAAATGAAGGCCCTCAAAATCTGTGTGAAGAGAGATTATAACAGACATTGATGTTTACTTCAAAAAGCAGACAAATAAAAAGGCAATGACAATGAAGTTTAAAATTACTAACTGATGTAGAGAAGGAAGACTGGGAGCTTCTCCCTGTCCTACAGTGACAAGGAATATTCATTTAATATAACAGGTAGCAACCTGAAAGCCTGTAGTGGGTTTGCATTGCAAGGTGGTTTTGTTTTTTTCTTTGGGGGTGAGGTGGAGGGCTGCAGGGGTGTCTTTGTGAGAAGGTGCCAGAAGCTTCCTTCATGTCCTATAAAGCCAGGAAAGAAAATACTTTTTCACACAGTGCATAATGTCACTATGGAACTAGTTGCCATGTTTAACCTGTTGAGAAGAAGGTATTGAACAGGATTTAAGAAGATACTGGTCACGAATCAAGATATCAAGAAATGCCAGGTGTAGAGTGCTAGCCAGTTTTCCATTACTGGAAGTCAGGATGATACCTAGTGTGCAAGGATAGTTATTTCTGCGCCTTCCACTCCTACCTGACCTTTTTGACACCTACCCCTACCTGACCCTTTTTCTTCAGTGAGCAGCTCTGGCTTTAAATCACCTTGTTCAAGCCAGGTTATTGGACTAGGTGGATGTCACACATAGTGTGACATCTTCACTAGGTATCTGATCACCAGCTGACTCTGGCATCTTAAATCTCAGCTTCAGTGTGTAAACACATTATTCTATTCTATACACCACTTCAGTTTGGTTTTTTTTTTTTTTTTAATTGTAATACCAATTTCATTTCCACCTGCCAAATGGTTTCATACAGTTCAACGTGGTGTAAGTGGTAATGGTGGGGAATTATGATCTTGAGTGAGGAGTTAGTTTTTAGCAACCTTGTTGTGTGAGGCTAGGCACTCCACTGCCTTCTTCACACGAGTGTGTTAACACAGACCCTCTCCTGTGCAGAGGCTGCCAAACAGAAAGTGTGTTGACAAAACTACATTAACTTAGACTTGTGAATTAAGAAATACTGGAAGCAGAGTCTTCTTGAGGTAAAGGCCAAGGCAGCGATCCACCATGCTGCCTGTCTTTCTGTGCCAGGCCTGGTAACACACTCTCTTTCTCCACAGAAGGGGAGCTGGAGGCAGAATGGCTGCAGGACGTAGGTTTATCTACGTTGATCTCGGGAGCTGAAGAGGAGGATGGCCAGGCCCTGCTGTCCACTCTGACCCGAACTCAAGCTGCCGCCGTACAGAAGAGGTACAACACCTACACTCAGACCCTGAGGAAGAAGAACAAGCACACAGTCCGGGATGTGCGAGACATCTTTGGCACCAGTGACTCTTCCGTAAGTAGCTAATGCATCCTATTGAATGCTTTTGAGCTTAATTTTTATGCAGTTTGCGAGTAGCTCGCCAAAACTTCTACCAGACAGGAGCCCTTTTCTGCTGACAGTGTAAATACAGCCAGTAGCGGTTCCTGACACAAAGTCCAGATATTTAATGCTGTATATACTAGGGTCATTTTGAGAGGAAAGGAAGAAACCAAACAAAATAGATGATGCACAGTTTTGCAAATAACTTGTAACGTAATGTTGTATCTGTTGCCAGCCTTCCTCTTGCAATCTCCTATCAAGACCAACATTTACTCCCTTATTTTTCGGAAATTGGTGAGTTACTCTTGGCAGCTATTCAGATTTTTGCTGGCTTCTGGGGACGCTATTTACTCAGCAGTCTCAGTGGTGAAGTAAAACTTCTGTAATGTAGCAACTGGGATTCAAATATGCATAAGCAATTAAACACCTGCCGGCATGATTGCAACTGGTACACTGGCAGTTACATTTCACTCCCTAGCAAATGAAAATCCATTAACTGTTCATTTGCTTCATGGCTTCAGAAATGATCATCGCCTCTGGTGGTTTCATCCACTTTTCCCTGAGGATAGCTCTAAGTGCACCAATTCCTATCCCTAGATTCTGGTGAATGCAGCCAGCTGTGCGAGTTCAGTCCAATGCTCAAAGCAAGGTGCATGACTTTACATAGGTCCCTCGTGATAACTTAAATGGGAGTCACCAATAAGCTCACAAACTCACCTTTGAAATTAATATTGAAGTTCTTGCCATTACAAAACTCCAGGAAACTCTTTTTGTTATGAAATTGTTTTGCCCTTTCCTATTTGTCCTATCCTCTCCGCAAAGCTTGGCATCCTGGATGAATTTAAAACAAAAAATTGGGAAACAAAATCATAGCTGCATAATTATATTAAAATTACAAAGACATAATGGTTGGGGAGTTAACTTACTTGTCTCCAATTTAAGAATTTGGGGTCTTTTGAACCACTTGCACACCTCCCACAAATATACCCAGAACCATCCAGTAGTTTCCTGTGGGCAGACTTTCCTGCATGAGAAATCATCAAGCATGTTGCATGAACATTAAAAATCTGATGGCACTTCTTATTAGATTAGCACACTTCTCCTGTTTCAAGTCTTTGTAAGCCTTAATGTGTTTAAAAATTTTAAAAATTATAATAAAGCTTAAGTTCAATAATAAATTCTTATCAGCCAAATAAATGTTCCCGTTCTCTTGGATGGGCACATTATTGATCTGGTTTTGACCTGCTTATTTCTCATCTCTGTTTCTTGCTTGTTAAAGGAATTAGGAATTTCAGAGCCACTGCCCTTCAAATCACTGTTTTACATCCTCTGCTGAAATTCAGCTTACTTACTAGTTCTGCATTGTGAAAGACTGAAAGATAAGCCTGAAAAAGTAATTAAGACTTCTAATTCTTCTTCCCACAAAAATGGGAAAAATGCAGTTCTGGAGGGTGCTTACTTAAATGTTAAACACAGGTAAAGGAATACAGCTGCAGAGCACCCCATCACCTCCCACCAATGAGCTGCAAAAGATATTGTATTTCTAAAAGCCTGCAAGGCTCCCAACACCCTTTGGGCATTCCCACTGATGATTGCTCTGTTGCTTATTATGGGATTTAGAAAGTCCATTCTAATTATCAGTTGCTCAGGGATAGACAGACTGCAGGGGGCGGATGTTGTGCCCCCACCTGAAGGTTTCCTGAGCAGTCCTTTGCAAGGGGGCGTCAAGGGAAGCAGTTCCTGAAGCTCTGCTGCCTCTTTGGGTATGGCACTACAGCTGTCCGTGAATCTTCGTGTTGAATCAGGTTGGGAAAGTGATCTGCCTTAAAAACAGCTCAGCCAAAAAAAGGAAGAGCAACAGGGGACAGGGAGAGGCAAATCTTTTCAGCACAGCCACTGAAGAGAGGCTGGTAAAAAGTTTGCTTGAAATGATGTGCAGGAGTCTTGCTTTCCCAACCTGCTTTTAGCTGGGAAGGGAAGAAGTAAACACATTGCAAATAGCAAAACAGCCCTAATTACTTCACGTAACTCTATAATCTTCCCCATTAGGAAGATGGATTTACACCCTCTTCCCAAAAACTTAAGCATTACAGGAGCCTAGAGGGATGGGTCACAGGATGGATTACCCTCTTCTGTGGCTAATGATGACAGAAAAGGCGATTAGCTCACTAGGGTCACCTGAGATGAGATTTAGAGGACCACTGAAAAGGCACAGATAGTTGTGACTGAGGGGGAGGGGGTAGCAGGGTGCAGAGAAAGAAAAGAAAAGAAAAAAGAAAGAAAGTATGATAGGTAGGTACATTTGCCATATTTTCTTTTCTCTGTTCTGAAAAAAACAATACCTGCTAGATCTTTTGAGGTCCAGGGCAGGAGTGCTCCCTCAACAGCCCAAGTAGAGTGAAATGAAAGAAAATGAAGCCACATTTCTATTTTTGGTTGGGTTTTTTGGTTGTTTTGTGGGGATTTTTTTTGGGGGGTGGAAGAAGGATGTGGGCTTTGTTGTGGTTTTGGTGTTGGTTTTTTTTTTCTGCTGGCCATGATACCTGAGGGCAAAATGCAGCACCACTCCAAGAGCAGTGCCTCGGCAGAGTTGCCTGCCCCAGCTGAGGTGCCTTGCTTCAGACAGGTCTCTATGGAGCATGATCGACTGACAGCCACGTTACTGAGATTTAAATTGGATGGTTTATTAATCACAGTGGCCTGATTTTCCTTACTGCATGTACCTCGCTGCTTCCATCAGGTGCTATCAGCTCTGCCAGTGCTCAAAGCCTAGAAAAATCAACGGCAGAATACAAAGTTGGGGAGGAATATTGATTTTTATTATTGGAGGGAGGAAATGAAACATCATGCTCATTAACAGCCCAACGCTGTATGTTATGAACAGCTAAAACTCCTCAAGAATTTTAGGAGTATTTGGCTTGAGCAATGCACGAGAAAATCATGTCCTAGTTTAAGAAGAATCACTAACTAACCCAGAGCTATTTGCATGAAAAGGCATCTGTGACTGTGCTCAAAAATATTAATATATCCAAAGCATGGGCAAGTTATATCCTGACTAGATCTATAAGACTATCCTTCTTTGCCTTTATTTCCCTTAGCTGCAGGGCTGACAATAGAATTTGGTTTCTTTGGTGCTCCGATAATTTGTTTTTACATCTTCTACAATGAGGGTAGCTACTAAAGAACTATCTAACTCATCTCCATCTTTTCCTTGTTCTTCTGGTTTCCTCTTCCCATTGGAAATTCCTGTGTACATTGTGCCAGTAAACACTGGGCTCATTTTTAGTACCGGATAATGAGAACTGTCTAATGAATCGCTTTCAGTCAGGATATGTGAAATCTTGGCTTCTCTGGAGCACCAGCCAAGTGAACAAAGCTGTCCCACTTTAGTAAAAGACACAATTTGACTCTTGGCCTTGCACATTCATTAAGACATGAGCTTCCAAATTTTTTTAATCATCATCTTTGTTTCCTAAAGAAATTATCTGGATGTTTAAAATTCATGCATTAAAAAGGTTTTATTCCCAGCCTTCCCTCTCTTTTATCACAGTATCCTAGGATTAAAAGAAAATGGGGAAATGGGTTTTTTGTCCTGTTCGGAAAAAATTTTCACAAAAGAGATGGAGATTTAGTTTCTTTTTACACTCTCCCTGTGGAGATTGGAAAATGAGACCAAGAATATAACATTTTTGGCTAACCCTGATATTGCACCTGTTTCACGTTACTCAATTGCCACAAGCTAGAGCAGCCTGCAGGCTCTTGCCATCACTGCTGGGTGTGAGGCAGCTCTCCTTGGCCAAACCTGGCTACTACAGCTGCTTCACTATTGATTTCACCTGTGTAACAAGGCGGGAAGGATCTCTTTTTGCTTAATGAGCTTGATTTACTGTAAGTCTGTTCTGAATACTGTTCGCAGGGTCAGGCATTTTGAGCAGTGGAAGTAGGTGAGCCAGTAGCTAATGTTTACCATTAATTTCTAAATCTGTATCTTAAGCACCAGAATAACTACTTCTATGCTTGATTTTTCCCAAATTCCTAAGACAAGTTTAACTGCCCCCTCCGCTTCCATACTCCCATTTGAAATGTATATGGCTTTTTTATGTCCTAATGTCTTCTGTGTAAATGTTACGGGATTTTATAATAAAAGCATCCTACAGTTCTCCTTTTAAAAAAATCAATGGTCCTTACAGTCTTCTGGCAAAGGAAGTCCATATGACTCAAATCCTGTTTGTTATCAAGTTTGCAGGCCATTGAACAGACTCTTAGGAGAGACTTTATTCATGTTACATTTCACTTTGTTACCCAAATAGCTCAGAGGATAAGATTGAATAAAACAACTCCAACATTATTTCAGGCTTCCATTTGGAAGATCTGCCTGCTTTTTAAATATCTGCCATTTTTTAGCAGCCTAAAAGCTGCTTCTGTGCATTGGCTACAAATGAGGAAGAGAAAATCTCTGCCCTGAGGTGTTTCTGCTTGTTGATAAGCAGCTGATTTAGCAATTTAAAGAACAATTTAAAGAGCTGCTGTTGTGGGCTTATTAGGGCCCTGAACAGCAGGTTCAGCTGGAAAGCTGAGATTGCTCCATCAGGCTTTGGGGGGGTGGGAGGGGGTGTGCAGTGGTGAGGCAGCAGGTTTGGAAAAGGAAGGGCTCCAAGGGCTTCCACCAGGATGCAAAGGACAGCAGAAAAATACAAGACCAGTTTGGGGCATTGTAGTTATTTTCACGGGGTACCCTTTGGAGCATTTTTTAAATTCCTGACTTTTTTTTTTTTTTTTGGCCAAGAACATGCAGATGAGCTGCTATTGCCCCATGTAGGCATAAACACTCAGTTTTGTCTTTATGATGAGTCCTAAAACTGCTGAGAATAAGGGCAAAACTTCGCTGCCTAGAAAGGTGACAGCACTTGAAAGCCAAGCCCTGGGCTTCAGAGCCCCTTCTCTGTTGTGCCACACACACTTCCCCCATTTTCACACAGTGTCAAATGATTTCTAGAGCAGAAAGGAATGAATTTGACTATAGAAAAGGTCTTTTTTTCCCCTAAAAATGCTTTTGCTGTTCACTGATAAAATGTTAGGATATAACCTATGGGAGGACATTCGTCCATTAATAATTTGCTGGTACCCAAATCCCAAAAGGCTGTGAACAGCATAACTTCTGACAGGTGCTTGGGAGTGCCAGATATTCAACAAGTGTCAACGTATCCTCAGAAAGATTTGTGGCCAAAATGATTAAAAGCAGGATGGATTACAATTTGATGAGGACCTTTCGCTTAGTACAATTATGTACACCAATTTACTTAGTTAATTTCAGCCATGATATAGGACAGGACTCATTAGCTACAGTGAGCTGCAACATTACTGACCTCAACATGATCCAAAACTGTGCATCCTGGGGAAGATTAATTCTCAGGCTTGTCTATGAAAAATGTACTGTGGCGAATCACAACATATTGTTTAAACTCAGCAAAAGAGTGTAAGCTGAGAATGATACACTGTTGCTTGAACTGTAGCAGTTTCTGTCCATAGACGTTTACCTTCCCTGCAGTCTGATCGTTTTTCCTTGCCTATCAGCCCACATTTGAGACAGTTCCAGTGTCATCAGTTCCTTCTAATGGTATCCAGCTTCCCGGGCAGAAGCCAGTTTGGAAATCAGTTAGCTGTGAGTATGCCAACATGTAACCAGTGTTCACTTTATGCTAGGATAATGAGAGAAAGAAAGATGCTTTTGTGTTTCAGATGTTAGTCCCCTCCTTTATGCTGGGGACATGTTGCATATATTTCCTTAAAATCATTGTCAGCTTATTGTCATGCAGGAACCAAAGTTTCCCATTCAAGACTGGTGTTGTACAGACACACTCTGCTGTCCTTGAGACATCAGTGTCTAAAAAGTACTGATTGTTGCAAGACTGGGGATGTGAAAATAACCTCTAAACAGTATGGTGCAGAATTTGTCTAAAATATTTCAGCAGTGTATTTTCCTGTTGCAAATCATGACAAGAAAGATGCATACTTCCTTCACGTTTCTTCTCCAGTACTGCAGAAACTGTAATATTAGAAATTTATCATTTTTTCTGGGTCTGCCCTATTATTCTGATGTACTAATGGTGTTACCTTGGACATCTCTGACAGTGACTGGCAGTGCTAATGAAAATGATAGCTCTGCTCTAATCAGTGGCTCCATAACTGCCAGCAGCCTTCCATGGGAATGTCCATCATTTATTTTGAAAACTCCTCCCATCGCCATTGTTCAGGGCTTAACTAAAGGGGTATTAATACCTGAGTTTCTAAACTAGTCCCTTAGATGTTTACCTCTGGATGTAGTGCCACAGACATTTTCCTTGGTTGTAAAAGCTGCTCTGCTCATATCCCTGCTCTGCAAGCAGTTGTACTAGAACAGATGGGGAACCAAATGCCTAGGGGTACCACGGACGGTCCGTGGTCCCAGGTCCAAGGGTGGAAAGAGAGACGGAAAACACCTTAAATGGCTTGGCCATTAGATAATATTCAAGGCCACAGTTCAGAAGGTAGAAGTCACTTAATAACACACTTAGATTTTCCATATCAAAATTATGCAAAATAAAGAGTGTGTTTTACAAAAAATGTTTAAGTCCCTGTATCTGTAAATGAAATTATTCAAAAATCGTGGGACATGCACATGTTTATAAAACATGTAATGCTTTTTAATTCACTTTCTGATTTCCGTGGCTTTTGAATGCACTTGGGTCATGTTAGTAAACTCTTCTCTGCAGGCCTGGGAGCTGAAATTTTCCTTCACTTCCAATGCAAATCATGATTCTGCTCCAACTGCAGGAGTCTAGGAGCTGGACCTTAAGGGAAACCTAAAAATTGTCCTGAGGTGCAAGAGATCAGTCATAAAAGTTGGCAACCCTGGAACTTATGCATGTTATCACATTTGGGTCTCCATGACAATAGGGTATTTCTATACTTGATTGTAGAGATTTAAAAAATTTTTCTCTGTCATCCAATAATTTCAGGTGGCAACTAAATTTTAGAATAGAGCAGTAAGTCATTTCACAATATCTATCAGAAATTCCATTAGACATAATGTTTTTCAAACTTGAAGATTGTACATTGTGTCCTGTTTTGGTGCAACAAACCTAAACAAGCAACTCTGAGAAATATATGTATGTGAGCATATAAAATATATACACAATGCCTTACGATGGTAAATAAGTCAACACTGATCTAAGAAACTGTGTCAACAGCATTTTCCCTTCAAGAACTTTTATTTTTAATTGTTCATTAGACAAGTGCCACCACAGTTTGTTGGCCTGGGTCAACAAGGATTGAGTACAAAAACTTAATAATTCCTGATAAACAGGAACTTCCAACCTGACTATCTTTCTCACGAAAAGCAACAAGTTAAATAATCTGAAATGAAAATGGGGATTTTATTTCTAAGGGCTTATTTCCTCCAGAAAAAACAGGAACATGCTGTGGTTTACACTGAAATTCCTCTTTGAAGCACTTCCTTTATTAGTTTCTGAAGATTTTGTCATCTTGGTTCAATTTTTTTAATGTCTCTGTACTAAATGCAAGCGTACATTCAACATTCATGTAAAAATTCCCTTATTTTCAGCTAATAGCTGTCTAGACTGTGGACTAGATAAAAGCAGCCCATCCATAACAGAAGAGCTCTCCTATGAGATCTCTTTCTCAGAATCCATTACGGTCCTTCCAAAAACCCAAGAATGGCCGAAAAACCAGAGGTTCAAAAAGGAAGACTCTGCTTTGCCAGTAAGTTTGTTCTCAGTGTATTTCCTCAATTTTTTTTTGGCTGTTGTTTTTGGTTTTTGTTTGTTTGTTTGGGTTTTTTGGTTTTTTTTTTTAACACAGTAATTTCCTGCCTTATATCCCCCAGCACAGCGGCGCCTGTTAAGATACATTAGCTGTCCTTTGCAATGTGTGCTTTATAGTCTGCCTGCCCTACCTGCCTGCCACTTGTGACTGCTTCCCAGAGAGGCACCAATGCTAAGCTGGATATCTAAGCTTGTTTTTTAACTTGTACCCATCACAGATAGATGTGCGTAACTCAATCCACAAATACTGCATCATCCACACATTTTTCACGTAGAAATAAAGACCAGTTACTGGCACTAAAACTCGCAACCATATTCATTACTGGTCTGCTTTCCTACAGTATTCCCCCTCAGGTTATCTGCCTTTGTTAACACATGGATTTTAAACTGTTTCACAGATGAATGGGAGAAAGCAAGCCTTAGTCCTGCAGTAATGCTGATTGACTCCAAACAGTCTTCAGGGCAATTATATTAAAGGAGAGACTACATGAATAGTTAAAGGAAAGTTTATCATATCATCCAACTAGACATACACTAGGCAGTTGTGTCATTATCTGGAATTATTTCTTGCAGTCAAAGAAGTCAGTTTTCTATTTCCACCAGCCCTCACAACCTCCATTATTGAAAACTGGAGCATTAGGTTTGTGCTTCTGATACTACCTTTTTAGTGAAAGGTATGACATAGCTGTAAATTACTTGGAAGTATTTCCTGAATATCCTGATGTCCTGAGACCCTGAACTAATCTGAAATTATTGCTATCCACACAGAAATTGAATTCCCTGAGAATTATCTATTTGTCCATCTCAGGTACCACCAAGGAAGAAGAACCTGAGATGCAGAAGTAAGCTTCCCTGTTGAAAGGAGGGATAGGTCACCAAATAGATAACAACTGGCGCAAAATCCCATGGCTTTAGTGGGTCTGGGTTTTTTTCTGTGGTGGACATAAGGATATCTCTGCATTCATCATGATTCTGGCAAACCAAATGTTCCTCCTTGCTCCTTGTAATAGCAAACCTTCACTACAACACACACACGCACCCATACACACATACACACCCACACAAAAAAACCCAAAAAAACCCTTGTTCTCTGCAACCACTCTGGTGTTTTCCAGCTGATAAAGCAGGAAAACCGATGACAAAGAGGAAAGAGAAGACACCAGATGCCACACTGAATATTAGGGACCTATATATGTATAATTGTATTAGATGTATTAGAAAAGGCCAGCACTGTGCTGGAGATTAACTATTCTGCATGCAGGACATCATTTTGTATGTTTGGAAGAGTCAGGAGTCAGGTCATCACAGAGACTTTCTGAATAAAGTCAACAGTTGTAGCTATTGACATTCTCTTACTTCATATGCTGCCACTCGTGGTATTAGATTTTTTCCCATCACAGCTCAGAAGGTAATGGACCCCAGCAAAAAAGCCACTTCTTGCTCTGTTGTAGAGAGCACTGACCAGTCACCCTGAAGCACTGTCCCCCCTTCCTCAGGGTGGGTCAACAGGGCCAGGCTGAAGTCTATACTGCTCTGCAGGGCAGGTCTGACACGTTAATATAATCAGCTTCATGGGTGGCATATACTGAGCTGCACAGAGAGAGATTATATGTCATCGAATCCTCTGTCCCCTGCAGCTCCCAGAAGAGCAGACTCAGCATCGCTGTCTGCACAGGGTTACATGCAATTTCCCCAGCGTGGGACCATGACCAAAGTGACGAAGAGATTACAGAACTGAAAGTCAATAGGATTTCAGGCCCATCTTAGTACACTGTGCAGTTCCACACAGAAATGATGTGTCACACAATTTCGGACGTGATCCTTAGCCAAAGCATTAGTAGTCAAATTTCAAGGTAGCACATCCTCCTTCAGTGCCACATATTGTGACTCCACTGCTCGTAAGAAAAATCACTGGAAAATTGTGACACAAGACAGAAGAGACCCAGCCCCAAACCTTGTGTTAACACTGCATCACCTCACAGTGACCCTAGGAGTCGAGCAACCACCATGAAAAATCATTGTGGGTACCCTTTGTAATCGGTTTGGGAGTGTTTGTCATTTTTTCCTTGGCAAACATACTTGCCAATGAACTTTGTTATTCCCTATGTTATTTTCTCATATTGTGTGATCTTATTTTCTTATTTTCAACATGATGTATTGTGGTTTGACTTCTTCTGGACTTTTTGAATCCCTGGAAGCAAAATGCATAGATATTCTTTAGTATTTTATGTGTCTTCAGAAGACTATGCTCTGTGTAGATTTTGTTGCATTATTAACTCTCAGCTTAAGAGTAACAGTGGAATGGCTGCATTCTGAGGAGGGAAGATTCTGACCTAAAATGCTCCAGACAGCATGTTAATTAGTTATTCCATCCCCTGCACTCTTTCTGCCCCAATTATGATCAAACCCTGCTGACCATGTGCAATGTGATTTAGGAAGTCCTAACCTACATGATCTACATGTCCTTTGTCCTCTCTTACTTTTGAAGTCTGGTGTAGTTTAATTATTTTTGTTTACTTTTTTCTTTAATCTGTTTGACTGACTTCATCTAAAGATGGGTTAAATCTATTGAGTCCAAATTGGTTTAAAAAAGGGAGGACTGGGCTAAAACCTCCAGAAGCAAAACATTATTAAAGTCTGGGTTTCCATTCAGTTCCCTGAAGGGAGGAGATGATTTGTAATGTTATTTATTTATACCTCTGACTAATGATTACTGGTTTAAATAACAACTAAATTTAAAAAACATACAATACCAAAGATCCACAGTCCTTTGAAAAGCATGGTTTTTACTGTAACTTTGTTATTATATCTAACAGTTTTGTCAAAAACTGATGGATATTTGTTTTTTCTGACATTTGTACAAATGCTTATGGCATGACACAACATTCCTGGCTCTGGTCCATGACGCTGCAGTTCTAAAATATGTAGACATCTTCACATGCCCCAGATTATTAAGTGATATTTAGTTCAAGCCTACTTTAATAAATTATTTCTTAGCTGCTGGGAGTCCTGCTGGTAAGCCTAAATGCTTCTTGAGTAATAAAATGTACCAGTAAATTGGCAGGTTGGCATCAGGATTAAGTGATTTTGCTTCTGGGCTTTTCCTCAGATCTTCAATTTGAACTGTCCTAGAAGACATCATAAATTAATAGCAATATGCAAAGCAGGCATGGATTCATTGCCCTCACACAACTGATATACAACCATATCCACGATGAAATGTGTCAGCTACTTCAACAGCATTTGAAGATGCTCTGAGAGAGGCAGAAGCAGAGGAAAATGTTATATCCTGCTGAAAAAAACCCATAGCTCATTCATCTCAGTCAGAGTACAGGCAGGGCACTGAGGTTACTACCTCTGCTCCACCACCACCTACCAGTCAAACAGCAAGGGAACATGATGAGCAAGAGGCTCAGTGTTATGTTTCAGATGGATCCAAGTTACGTCAACATACCAGACCAACACATACAGTTGTAGTTCATCTCTTTGGTGTTTTCCATCTACCTAATATGACTTCCTATCACATACGGGCATCTCTTTCAAAACAAAAATTCATGTCCTCTAATTTCTGTGCAAATAAAGATGTGACCCATCTCTACTGCAGAAATTCATTGTTCGGAAAAGCCGGTTTGGACTGACAGAGGTTGGAGACCTCTCTCCTGAAGACATGAAGAAGATCCGCTACCTCTCCCTGATTGAGCTGACAGCCTTCTACGACGCACTGGGGGTGGAGCTGAAGAGGAACCGTGCAGAGAGGGTGCGGGGACGAGGTACTGTGCTGTGGCGTCCCCATGGGGGCCACGTGGGCGCCGCTAGGCGTAGTTCAGAGTTCGCCTACAGGCTGTGTTTTCTCTCTTTCACATTTGTTGTTGTTTTTAAGAAAATGGTCTGTTTGGAGTCCCTCTCAACATACTGCTGGAGAATGATCAAAAGAAGGTTCCTGGAATAAAAGTTCCCCTCATCTTCCAAAAAGTAAGTATAACTCAGCTTGCTCATCCACTAAGATTCATATTTCCACTGTTTGCATTGACATTGAAAGCAGACATCAGATAAAAGACGAAGGGTCTACAGACTTGAAGATGTCTACAAGTTGTATGTCTGTATGTTGTGGTTTGAAAACCTTGTGGCAGATGACAAAATTTGCTCCTTTTGTGTTTTTATCTGTGGTGGGGACCTCTTTCCATTTTTGCAATTATACACTACTGTACAGGAAATTTGGGGAAACAAATGTCTGGCTTTCTGTTTCCCTTTCTCATTAAATGGAGAGCACTATGCAAAATTGTGTGTCCATGCAGACATGAGTTGTCTCAGGAGTTTTAATTTTACATGAATTCAAACTGTATGTATTACTATTATTTCCAGAATGGAAGTCTTATCTTCTCATTGAGGTTTTTATGACAAGACAACATCATTTATACAAGTCATTTGACAGTAAAATGATAGCCAGCATATGTCTTGGATGCAGGTACACAGACACAAGCATACATGAAATTACACAGGTTTACACAGGCTCTAAACTACAACAATTTTCCCTGTAAATACCAACAAAGGGGAAATGGTGTGGAGTGTCAGGGAAAAGACTGACATGACTGGAATATTTACATGACTTTGCAAGCAGTTCCACAGCTCCCCTGTCAATATACCATGGAAAATTAGAAGGATCCAACAGCTAGGGCAGGAAGCAGAGCTGGTGGTGCAAATCCAGAGCTGTATAAATAAATACTAGGAAATTATTTTTTTTTCCTTGTTGCAAATAATGTTAAATCAAAACATATTTATTTTTTTAATACAGGATTAGAGTGGAAATCTAATCCTCTAGTCACAGAAATTTCAAAATAAAATATCCTGGGATCATTTTCTAATCTGAGTTTTCAGTACCCAGAAATGTATGTTATCTATAGCCCTTTCCATTGTGCTCCTCAGGGAAAGACTTAAACATTTCTCAGAGGTTAATTTTCCCTCAAAACACCATTGTGTTCTACCCCGTGTATCTGCCCTTTTATTAATATGACTATGTGTTAATTGTTCTGTGGCAGTGCCAAGTCTCAAATCAAGGACAGAAGTGCCTATTGCATTATTATCAGTTTTCCGTACTCTGCATACTCCCTATTTCAGGGTTAGGAATATGAAGAACAAATTAAGGAGGTTTATTTACATGGGTTGGCTTGTTTTCATTAGCAAATTACATAGAAATGTATACTTTTAAAATAAGTTGCAAGGATACCTAGATTAAAAAAAAAAAAGTTAACAGTGGTTTTAAGTGCTTCTGATTATCTTCCTGGGTTTTCTTGGACTTTTTTCAGTTGCTGCTCAAGCTTGAGGAAACAGGTTTAGAGACCGAAGGAATTCTACGAGTGCCTGGGTCTGCCTCCAGAGTCAAGGTACATGTTCATGCCAGTTTTCTGTCTGCTGGACCACAGACTCCATATAAAATAATACAGCACACACAAACGCACACCACACATAAATACTGATGTGTGTATTTCTATTCCTACCAGTGAAAGGTCAGATTGGTTCCTGGGAACCAATAAATCACAAAACATGTGGTCTATTGCTTTGCATTTTTCAATGTTCTATATAAAGAACAGGCTTGATGTTGAATGCAGTTCTTCTCCACTAAACATTGAGGGATCCTTTCAGTTTATCTCTGTCATCTAGAATTGCTGTGATCTTATCTCTGGTTTAATTTGTTTCAGAAATCCAGGGTTGCTAAACTGGGTGAACTTCAGATAAAGATCTTATTCTATGTCATTTTAACCTTTGTGTCATTTTATTTCTCATTTATCTTCTGTCATCTTGCCATTTCATGTTCCAAGTGAGAGAAATTTGGCCTTCATTCACTGTTTGGCAGCCTTGAGTACTGCATTTTCACAGGCTATTTGCAGGCTATGAACACAGGATTGTTGGTACCCAATAACCTGACATTGTGGCACAGTAATGCTTGCAATTGTTTCTGCAGACTAACTTGGTTCCACAAGCTTTAGCAGAGGCAAAATAGGAAAACAAGGGGGTTTTGTCTTAGTAGTGTCTACCTCTTTTCCAGTTTTTTGTTTCTCCTAGGTGTTTTTTTGGTCCAGTTTAAGCAACTTCTTATAGTGCCTCCCACTCCCACTTTCCCATCCTCAAGAAAGCTAGTCTTGCTTTCTGAGGCAGGAAGTCTCAACACTGTGGCAGCCACACAAATATTGGGGACTGCTAAACGTTGATGGTCTGGGGATCATAAAAAATGACTGTACGAGAAAACTGGCATTATATGAAACACACCGAAGATAGGCAGTAAGTGTCCTGGCTCCCTTTGACTCCGAGGATGGGATAAAAGCACTCAGCACCTTGCAAAGTGCCACACCTTGCAGAAGGGACCTCCTAATTTGGCCTGTGCTTTTCAGCTTCCCTTTTTTTCCATGCAAATACTTAAAGTATTATTTCACACAATCTCAATTTTATCAGACCTCTCTGGGGAGATTGCACAGCAGGCCTGTGCTCTGCCTAATTAAATTACTTTTTTATTCTTTGCATATAGTGTACTCTGTGTGTTGTTCACTTCTTATTCACAACCTCTATCCAGGGAGCTGCTATGAGATATGACTTTATATGTAACTCTCCTATACTGGGTGGCAAATTAAACGGCCCATATGAAAGTTTTAAATTATTTGAGTTTTGGCTTCATTTAAGTCTGTCCAACAAGCCAACCAGCAAGGGAGATATTTTTTCTAATCAGATCCAGATTTCATCCCTCAAAGCCTTCATACATTATTATGACATTAGGATTTGAGAGCATTCCAATTTTATTTCAGTCTTGTTTGTAGAAAGAAAAGGCATATGGAAGTCATTAAAGGTTACTCTTCTATAAAACAAAGAATAGAGAAATAAATACAAGTTTTCCTCTCTAATGTGGTTTGTAACAAAAGATTCAGTAAACCAAATACGCTTGACAATCTACTGTAGGATCAGCCATGTTTAAAAAAAAAATTGCAAAAATGGTTTTTTTTTAAGAAGTACTTAGGTGCCTATCTATATGTGAGAGGAGGAGAAGGGGTAAGGGGATGCTGTATAAATACATACATACATGGTTTCCTGTGTAAAATGTATGTTTCAAATTCTTGCTTTCTATTTCTACGGCCTTTTCCCAATTCTCAGGAGAAAAATGTGGAATAGTTTTTCTCTCCCCTTGTGATTCTGATAAGGTAAGGATTTCTGTTCCACATTTCCCAGTCAGTTACCAGGAGAGTAGTTAATCCAGGTGTTTGTATGGATTATGTGCAAAGGATGTGAATACAGAGGAAGCTGAGAGCGCCCAGATTACAACCAGTAAAATGTGCTAGTAAAAACAAGATTGTAACTTTATATACCAAATCCTGAATGACTATTTCCTTTTATGCCAACCATTTCACTTCATTATGTGTGACCATATTTGATATGTAATTTCCTTCCATTCATATGAGGCACGGTAAACAGAATTCATTTCTTAAAGGTTTTATGTCTGAATGGACTAAACTTTACTGCGTAACATTAAAATACATTTGACAGAAGCATGATCTGAAACCTGAATATTAGCTACAAATGCATTTTGTCATAAATGGTCTCACAAAAAGCAACAACAAACTTCCTGTGGATAAGGCAGTGTTTGTCCAGTAATTGTGAAAGCTGCATTATTTATGGATATCCTTATATTACAGTAGCATCCTTCAATCTTACTAATCCAACAAATTTTTGAGAAGCTTGCATTTTCCAAACAGTGATCTGGGTTTGAAGCCAAAATCTGTTCCTACTAGGAACCTTACTGAATATTTCCTATTCACACATATCAATCACACATTGCGTGACACACTGATTAGTTACGTTATGGAACTAACAGACCTCAGTTATAGAGTAAGATGCTGACACTGGAGAACAAGAGGATTGAATGGGCATCCAAAATGGTATAATCAATTCTGTCTTAGATATCTCTTGGGGTTTTTGAGGGGTTTTTTGGCACTTATTCAGTGGAGAGTTTTTGACACAAATGGTTTGATACCCTTATTTTATTACAAAGTGATCAAATCAAATTACAGCCATCCTATCAGAAAACATCCTTCTAAAGACAGGGAGACCTGAAGTTAAAAACACTTGCTCAAGGCCCATGGACCTGGATGCCAACAGTCTGTCTAGCAAGTTCACTGGCAGTGAGGAAGACACTCACTTCCTTGTGATTTAAGTGTCAAAACCCCTGAGTGTGTTTTAAACAAAAAGAACAGTTGTGCTAAAAGTCCTGTTTAACTGAATTTCCTGTTTCTAGTTCTAGGACATTGCGCAAAACTGTCTTGCTTTAAAATGGTTCAAATGTGTCACTGGCAGAAATCTAGCTATTTGGCTAATAAATAAATAAATAAATTTGGCAAACCAAATTTAGCTTGGGTTGCAAAAGATCCCCAGGAATCTGATCTGTTAACCTGCTCTGAACTCTGCACAGCTGTACCTAGGCTGCTACTGCTTAAGGGATACTTTAACTATGGTGTAAACCTGTCTGTTGTCTGTAACGGGATTTGTAAAGTGGTCTCAAACTGCTGGGTCAGAAGCAATGATTAAAGGTCAGATGTTCCTTTTATCTTTCAGAATCTCCATCAAGAACTTGAGGCAAAATTTTATGAAGACACTTTTGACTGGGACCAAGTGCGAAATAATGATGCAGCAGGACTGTTGAAAATGTTTATCAGAGAACTCCCAAGCCCACTCTTCACAGTAGAATATCTGCCCGCTTTCATCACGCTAGTAGAAAGTAGGTGGAAAAGGAGTTAGTATGAACTGATCTAGATAAAATGTAATAGTGCTGAAGTAAAGAGAAAAAAAGACCCAGTGCATGAGCTGAACATCTAATTTTTCTACAAGCTTTTCTTTTAAAATGGAGAAGAGTCCCTGCATTTAGCTAATGGTATAGACTTGTCATGTGAGTGACACAACTGTTTAATGTGAGATTTGAATCCTGTGAGCAAATGATGGCTGAGAAATGACTTTCATATATAGACTCTGATTCACACAAATTATAGATTTCACAAACAAAAATTTCAGCATGGTAAACTCAAGTCACTGCCCTTTAGCTGATATTCTGCTGGATCTATTTTATTTCTTCTAAGGTCTGTGCTGAGGCCGGAATATTTGTACAAAGATATGTGTGATCACAGATAGTTTCAGGCAGGTGGCTTTTGTTTTCAGTGTACATACACCCTCTCATTCTCAGTACATTTTGTTCATTTCTCTTCCAGGAAGAACACCTAGGTACCTTGCCATACCTATTGAGTTTTTGTAAACCCACTTGAGCTAGGACAAACTATCCGGATGGTGAATTTATTAGGCAAATCAGTACAGAAAACGTAGAACCTTTATTCAATAAGGTTGCAGCCAAGTTTTCAGTGTCTCCATGAGGCAGTTCAAAGGGCACAAGGAGCTGACCCCTTCCTGTAATCTTCACGTACCTAAGTGTGCTCCTTGTGAGTCCTGGACTGTTACAATTCTTTAGCAGTTTAGAGGCTGAACAGGAAATGTCAGTGCAGAATAAAGTGACTTTACTCCCTCCAACAGATTCACCGTCCACAACACACACCCTTTTTTTCTCCAAACCTCTCTCAGCCACCCAAAGTGGAAGCAAATGACAGTTATTCTTCCCCTCAACTCCACCCCAGCTCTTCTCATTGCACGGTATCAGTACATACCAATTGCCGAAAACATGAAGGAATTTTCTAACTGCCAAGGCTTTCTACACTTATCTAGAGTGCTAGACTTGGGACAAATACTCAAATACTTTTTAAGTTAAAGGCAATCAATCTCCAATCCAGTGGCACAAGCATTCAGCAAATTCCTCAATAAAAACAGCCCCAAAATTTTCTGAAAACAAATACCCATTTCAGTTTGAAAGGGGGAAAATACTTGATTCACCTACAACACATTCTGACCATGATATCAAGGAGAAACTGCCTAGTGCTCAGAAATACCGTCTCCTTGCTCTTTAGGCAGAATTTTATAGAGCCTTGTCTCCCCCTGTGACAAAGACCAAGCTGATGAGGAAAAATCCATGCATAACAATTGGTTTTATATTTTTGGAAAAATATTATGGTTAATAACTAGCTAAACATGCTAGGCCCAACTGTACAGCAGTTGCTGTGTTTCTAGAACTGCTGACTAACATGAGGTTTAGAACAAACCAATTGTAACTGGGATTTTAAAATATTAATTATTCATATTCTTAGAAATCTCCAAGATCAAGTTACAGCTACAAGCTTTGCATCTGTTGATCATGCTGCTGCCTGAAGCCAACAGAGACACAGCCAAGGTGAGTTCTTTGTTTGCTGTCACCTGCCATCTGTGGTGCTTTTGACTTTTAAAAGAGAGACTGGGTTTTTTAATAACAGTGATCAGATGCTGCACCTTGAAAGTATTCAACTATGGGTGTTATAATTTACTTGAAAAGATGTTCCAATTCCATGGCTGTCATTTCTCTTGCAAGTAACCAAGAAACGATTGCTGGAGGTATCCAACTGCTGGTGTCGGTAAATGGCTCCCAGACGTCATTTATTCTGGAACATCCATTTCAAAGAGGCATGTTCTGCACATAGGTTGGAAAAACAAGGTTCAGTTTCTGGCTGTCTGTATAACTGGAATTCTCTGGGATGAAGTTAAGTGAGAATTTACCCCCCAGGAGCTTGTCTAATACACTCGAGGGCCTCCAGGGCACTGGACCAGAGTGGAGGAGGTAGTCAGAAGTAAAAACCCCAGAAATGTACATCTATAGCACGGATGTCAGGACCCCGACCTCAGCTGTTAGGCCTTACAAACCCATGTCCACAACCATGTACGACTTCCTGATACAGACATGGTGGCTACAACCATTTTGGGTGCTTGGCAGCTCTCAGATCTGGCTGAAGCTATGTCCTGACCCTAGGAGAGACAGGCTGCATCTTTGGGCTTATTTCCACATAAAGGAAACCTGGGTGAACAGGCTGTCTGGGAGCTCCAGACAGGTCCCCTGCTCACCAGGACTGTGCAGATCCCCCACCTCTAAGTCTCCCACTGACCAGTTTAGATCTTTATGAGTCCAGGTGCCTTCTTTACCTGTACCAGGTGGCTTCTCTACCTGTATTTATTTATATAATAACAAGCAACAAGAATATCCACTCTCTTTAAAGCATTTGGACGTCTACTGGTGCTCTGTGAAGAATGGGGGTTATTTCTTCTACCAAAGTCCATCCTGATATAGAGCAGTATCTGTAAAACACACACTAGATGAGTAGTCTTAATTGTTACTTGGCTTTTATATGGAAATAAAAGTGATGACAAAACTGAATGCATCTCTACTTGCTATCTATAATGAGAATTTAGAAATTTCTCCAACACAGTTTCTGTTTTGTAATTCCTGGGTTTGTAAAAATGTTTTAATTACAATGTCAGGGTACAAAGACAGCGATTTTAATGGTATGGTGTTGCAAAAGGACTCATTGGCAGACCCCAACTCTAACCACAGCTGCAACCCATCCTATTCAGTCACTCAAGCAAAATTCTGAATAAACTGCCCAAAAGGGAAATGAGTTTCCTTCGACTCTGCCATGCATGTGCAGAAGTGACGTCAAGGAACAACCACTGAGCGCTTCTTGCTTTCATTATCCCAGAATAAAAGTCTGGGGATTGCTGGCAAAATTTCCTCAGATTATATCAAATATGGCCCTGGTGCACATTTGAAGAGCAGCTGATCACCCTGAGGATTGTAATATAAAAAGCCTTGGCCAGATACATCAAAATGGACACCTTGAAATTTGTGTAGAAATTATCTGTTCCATTGCAACACTTATATCTTTCTTCCAACACAGGTTTCAGAGCCTTACTGCAGGTACTGTACTTGATCTACGAATTTGGGATTATGGTGTGACAGACAATTTATTAATGAGTATTTTGATAACATTAACTATTCTTCTGTGATTGACACTGGTGGTTGTGCCAGCAAATATCAGAGTTAGAATGCAAAAAAAAGCCCTAAATTTCACCTCCAAGTGCAATTATAGCAGCTTTCAAGCCAGACATCATACGTTTGAAAATGCTGCATTTAAGAAGTAAACAGTTTGGTGAGACTCAGCATAAAAAGTGTTGCTTTTCCAGGCCTTTCTTCAGTTCCTGAAGAAGGTGGTTGCTAATGAAGGGAAAAACAAAATGAATTTGTGGAATGTTTCTATGATTGTTGCACCAAACCTCTTCATCTACAAAGGGAAACGCGCAAACCAACAAGAAATGCAAGCAGCTGCCACCACTGCGCACATCGTGCGGCTTTTAATTCGGTACCAGGACATCCTGTGGACAGTGAGTAATGCTGGTTCCCTCTTTATGGCTCCAGTACAGAGTAGCACTTTGCTATATGCAGCAGCTCTGCAGAAATCAGAGTAAACTGACGTTCCTAGAACAAACAGTTAGCTGTTCTGTATATCTAGAATGAGATAAGGTAACAGATCCCTCTGGATGCAGATTTACCTCATCTATCCAAGATGTCCATTTTAGCATGACTTACCCTCTGGAGATACCTCCTGTTTTTAAAAGAGAATGCAGAGGAAAGCAACTTAATCTAGATGCCTAGGTGAGATATCTAGAATTGAGTGGGATTAAATGACTGTTTAAAGTTCAGCCCATAATCCTTGCTGGACTTCCGAAGACCGGCATGAAGATGATGACAGTGTCAGCACATTTCCTCATAACAGATGGAGGGTATGATGGGGATTGCAAAGACAACCTCCTAAAGAAGTTCCTACCACTGCAAACATCACTAAAAAGTTTCATATGATATGAAAGAGGCTCTACAGTTTCACCAAATGAATAGCTGTGGGATGTTAGAGGGAACTACTAATTACATCTATCTTCTGGGAATAAATAGAGCTTCTGCTGCCTAAAATTTGGTGCCTTTCTAAAGCTCCAACACCAATTCTAGGGGGGTGGTGGTGTGTGGAAATTACTGTATATTCTCAGCTCTGATTTCCTCCCTTTAGGTCCCATCCTTCCTGATTTCCCAAGTGAGAAAAATGAATGAGGCAGCAATGAACAACAGCAAGAGGCAGCTGATGTTTGACAAAGGAGTGAGAAAACTTCTGAGGAGAAAGACCATGGAACGGGAGAGGCCTGAAAGACCAGAGGTACTATAAAAATATATCATTTTCAAGGGCAGCTTTAACCAGCCTCCCTCCTTTCTCATCTCCTAAGAGCTTATGGGGGCAGGGAAGAAATTTTGCCATAGAAAATAAGCTGATTTGGGAGCTATCTTGAAAGACATGCTTCCCAGTCCAACACCCTGATAAAACAAAGCTTTGGGGATTGATTGAGAGCAGGTGAGGAAGGCAGAGTGATTTCTAGCAGCCCAAGCTATAAAATGTTGCAAACACATGCTGGTTTTGAAGCTGTTTTATAAGAAAACGGTCGTATGTGTACCGTTCTTGACAGCAATGTTCTGTAGATATTCAACACATGGATCTGTAGTTGAGCAGGGGGTGGTCCATATAAGGATTAATTGCACTTACCCATGCCCTGTTCCAGGTCACTTGATAGTCTCCTTGCAAGCTTTAGTCTTACAGCTTTGCACTAACTTCTTAAGCAGAGAGAAAATCCAGTTTGCCTAACATAGATGACAAAACTGCCTCTAAATTTTAAGCACCTAATGAAGTAGTTTGTGTTGTTATTCCCCATATACTCAGAGGAGAGAAGTGGATAGTTTTGAGGATTTGCAGAGCTCCAGGTGCAGTTCAGACTTAGGGATGTCTGATACTAAGATCTTCCTCTGGAGGTCTTAAAGGCACCAACTTTCCCTCATTGCCTGGATATGGAATTTAGGAACTTACTTGAGGTATGCTACTTCAATAGACACCTAAAATTAACTTATGTATCAGGTGCAACATATTCAGTTGGGCATCAAAGTATGATGTGCAGATATGCACAACATCTACAGTCCCTGTAGCAGCTTATATATTGTGTTTCCATGTAGCAACTACCTTTAATAACCTGGAAAAAAATCTTAGGTCTTAAATGGAGGTTTAAAAGAACAGAGATTGGTGAACTGTAAAAGGAGTAACCAAGGAACAGGTCAAGGACTCTGTAGATCAGTCTTGAAGAACAAAAGAAAAGACAAATTAGGAGGGAGTGATATTAAGAGATTATAAGAAATAGAGAATATGCCATCTAATACAGACAACAGAGAAAATAAGGAGGGAATATCCGGGAAAAACTAGAAAGAGAAGCGCTATGTATGAATTGCGAAGCCATGCTAGATCAGCTTTTTGGAGAATTCATTTGCCAGCACTGACTGAAATATATTGTGGGTAGGACACACATTTGTGCTGCAGATGGAGAAGCAGATGTTTGTTTAAAATGACAGTGTAGACTACTGTGTTGCAAAGCTGTATTCACCCTGGAACAAATACAGTGAGCGCCTCTGAGGAGAGTCAATTACCGCAGTCATTACACCTACGGCAAGACAAGTTCATTGATCGTAGTAATTGGCTTTGCGTCTAATAAAAACAAGACTGGCCATAGCAGGTAGCTGAAATATGAAGGGTAAATTGGAGGCAAACTTTGTTTGGATAACTGAGTTGAATTCTGAGAGCACTTAACACAATCCCCGGGTCTCAGATGTTCTAAATTACACAGGGACAGAGACTGGAGGGACTATTGTACTCTGCTCAGCATGGTATTAACTGGATTAGAACTGGAATGCAAACCTTGCTAATTGATTTATCCCCCATTAATCATGGAAGAGTGCATAAACTTCATAGACGATCATTTGAACCCTACACAAGGTCAAATTTCAAATTAACAGAAACCATATGGTACTTTGATATTTTACTGTACATAAGCTTCGATCTAGCTGAAGATAAAGGAAGTGGAAACAGACAATTGGTCCTTCATGCCTCAGGAGAATTTAATCTTTAAAATGAAGACTAAATATTCTTAGTCATTTCTATGTATTTTTAAATAAACCGTTGGTTCCCTGACCAACGTTAACAGAAAGAGCTTTAAAAAATCTCAGATAACAATTTGACTCAATAGTAGTGCAAGCAATCAAAATTCAAGGGCAGGTACTTTATTCTGCATACATTTGTGTGGTGCTTACCATGGAGTTTGTGCCTTTGTGTCGTGTATTATATGTATCTATACATCTGTGTTTGTATGACTGTAAATGGTTTTTCGAATAATTAAGTGAATCCAGGACAGTGATTTTTGCAAGCAAGCTCAAAAGAGTTGCAGAACTGCTTCTGAATGGAGCTACAGTAATACTTGCCTTAGACTTACTCTACTGAATATTGATTTTAGGGAGCTGTCACTTTTCCTCCATACCTCCAGTCTGACATACCTGAGGGGGTGATAAGAGTTTATGCTCCACTGCATTCAAAAGTCTCTATGGCAATTCAACTCAACAGCCAAACAAAAGCCAAAGACATCCTGGCTCGATTCCACTGTGAAAACAGGTGGGTAAACCAGAACATTTTGTTTTTCCTGAACAATAATATCAGAACCAATAATGAATAGATTGTCCCCTTTTCAAAGACTCATTGTGTTACGAGAACTTTTTCTAATCTAAAATTACTAATTTATTGTTACATCGGTCAAAGAAATTTTAACCACTGATTTTTTCTTTATATTTTACTTAATAATTGGATCCTATAAAGAATCAATCTGCCCTCTGTTATGTCACTGCTAAAAATATACATTTTATAGACTTGCTGCATAGAGAACCCAGATGGATTGTCTTATATCTGGCCATAAAAGTTAATGTTTTTATTTCTGTAAAGTAATAATTATTAACAGTTAGGGGAAATGGTAAATTGTGTCTGAAGGTCTTTTCTGCAAAGCATTCCCATGTTACCACATACTTCTGTTCTTGAAATAAATAATAAAAAATAAACAGTGTAATAATAAGGCTTAGTTAACAGTGACACAGTATTCTACTTTTGTAGCAGACTCAGAATTCTGCAGGGCTCCATTTGGTGGAAGTCCTTAGTTTTGGTAATTAAGTACACAGGGGCAAAAAATACCAATTATTAGCTTAATACAGATGGTGGTTGATAAGTCAGTGGTTATAACAGAAAGACAAACTGCAGGTTTTTTTTCTGTCCTAGCCGCGGTTCATCACAGAACATGAGAGGCCAGATCCAAAGTTTACATGAAATTGGAGGAAATATAGGTAGGTCTTATTTTTGAAAAATTAATTTTGTCTGTCTTTAGTCTCCTAAAACTCCACACGACAGTGCTGCTTTCACACAGCTGAGTCTCTCCTACCTTTCAGTCCATATGCAGGAAGGGAGTCTGACCCAAAAACTGTTAAAATCAATGTAATGATTCCTTCCGAGTCCAGCATGACTGGAAGGGCACCCCGCAGGAGAGAGTGACCTGATGGCTGGATCTCAGCAGGACTCCTGGCAGTCTTGCCAAATTCATCTGACCTTTTGCTTACCTCTCTCACTCCCATAACTGAGCATTTTTCTGTGGTTAAGAGATCCTTAGCCGCCTTCTCACCAGCACATTCCACCTCACTGTCAAGACCTTCCCCAAGACCTACTTTTTCTTCATTGTATTTCAGTGTTAACCTCCTCCAAATAAAACCCACAGAATTGGGAAGTCATCCCCTGGATGTATAGGTGTACTATGCTCATATTAATCCATATTCTTTAAATAGATTGTAAATTACTTGCAGTAGGGACTTTTTCTTCTTCCCTGTTTCATGCAGTGAAATTTCTGTAGTAACAACAGTGACTTGCCATACAAGTTCCTGTCATAAAGGTCAAAAAACAGATTGTAATGTGGTATCACACAGTCCTGCCTCTTTCCTTTCACTAGTCATACTAAAATTCTGGATGCTCTTTTGGAGTCTTTTGCCAACTGCGTGATTAGATTATTCCTTCATTCTTCTAGATTCAGCTCTAACCAGTTTCTATGAAGTTATTACAAAACATCACAGGTTTGCTTCAACAGCAGTCAAGAAGCAAAGTATTTACTACCGAAGACATACTCACACAAAGCTAAATTTGATTAGTGGTCTGTTTTGTCTGGCTAAACAGGATGACCAACAGATGCTAAAACAGCAGAAGATCCTAAAGGCCTTGTGAAACAATCCCAAGTATTCTCACCATGCTCCTTCAGAAATCTGGACATGTAACTTACATCTTCATTTAAAATTATTTTCAGTCCTAGATCTTGCAGGGCACGTTATTCCATTAATCATGCATTAATTAATTTATATTGCTTTCACTTCACTAAGATCACTAGGACCTCAGTGACCTTATAAGTAACTGTGCAAAGGTTTTACCATAATTCTTCACGTCACAGCAGTGTAACCTCACCAGTTAAATGGCTTCATCACCCAGTGTAAATGCAACATAATGCAACCAATCAACTTAAGCATTTATTGTCCCATTACTCAATTAAGAAGCACCAAATGCCTCTTTCTGTGGCAAATGCAGCAGGGACTCTGCAGCCAACTCCTATTCCCAATCATCACCCAACAAAACCCACAAACTGCCAGACTTGAGAGGATTTTTTTTTAACCAATGAAATAGTAACTGCCAAAAACCTGAATATAGTCCATATATTTCTTTGCAAGATCCTAGCTGGATGGGAACACACAGTTTAGAGAGCTAATCTTTCATCTTTTAAAAATAGTGTAGAAACAAAGTCAGAGTTGTAATTCTAGCCCAGTAATTTCAAAGAAATAAAAAACTGTACTGTGTCACTTACAGTAACAGTGTTGAAAATGCTTCTAAAGAAACCATAGTGCAAGTCAGAGATAGGTCCAAGGACATTCCAATATAGCTCTGTCCCATTCACTAACGTGCTGAAAACATCCTATGATTCGTGGCTGTCGATTTCTGTTTCAGGTCAGCACTGTTTGGATCCGGACGCGTACATGTTAGATGTTTACCGTGCAAATCCTCAGGCAGAATGGATGATAAAACCCAAAGCAAGTTGAAGCCGAAGGCTGCAGTGTTCTGGACAAAAGCCAAAAGGACAACAGTGATGCCTGTCATTTCAAGAAGCTCTTGCCAGAGACGACACAAAATGGTAGCTACAGGATATCATTCCTTCCTATCGTACTGTCCGACTGATGCTCAGCACATAGTGCTTTTGGCATAAGCACTATCACTCCAGCTTCTGGACCATCTGAAAATATCACATCAGTTATGCTTTGATATGGCTCACACTTGTGCCAGTTGGCCCAGGAGTTAAGGAGGACGGACCAAGGTACGGCACAGAGAAGGCCTCCTGTCCCATATGGAGTTGCTCGTTTCCTGACCTGGTGTTAGGACATGAACATTTGGAAAGAGCTCTGTGGCATCTGCGGATGTGTGAAACACTACCGAACACAGCATAACACGGAAGCATCACGGAGACATTCAAGAAGAGAAGGTATCTGCCAAGCATGGAAGAGAGAGACTCGACCTGCAGCAGCACCAAAACATAGCTGTGTGACAAAACCAAACATTTTTGCTGAAAGCAAACCTGTACAGTGTGCATTACTGCAATATTTATGTCTCTCAGTCGCTCCTCATGAGTACCTGATGCTGGGGGAGGAAGGGAGGCAGGAGGCAGAACTACTGTATAGACAGCTATACGGCTTTATATATCTACCACTGTATATATTACTACCAGCCTTCCAACATCGCCTGTCTGGATCACATTACTGTGTGCAATTGTACCACCACACACGATGCTCTCCTTCCTTCCCCTATCCTACACACAAGCTTCAGGAGACAAATGCTAGGTGAGACGGGGCGTATTCCCCTGGCTCCATCTTTTACTTGATACTCTCAGATTTAAGTCTGTGTAATGCCATGATATAAGGGTAAATGGTGCCACTTACAGCCATCACCTTTTTTGTTAAACATTATAATTTCTTAATTTGTAACCAAAATCTTTTTATTTTGTTTATTTTAGCTTTAATATGTAAGCAACTATTATACTATTCAGTTGCATTGAGAAGAGAGATCTTTATCCAGATCTCGTATAATTCAGTGTGGAGAAGAAAAAGAGCTTCCAATGAGCAGAGGGACTTAATACTCTTCTTTAACATTTACACATTAGGGCCTTAAAACCATAGCCAAACTAGGCCCAGTTGGGCTGTGGGTTTTACAACTACGCAGCAAATGGCAGCTCCTTTTACAGAGGGCACACGGCCTGTGAAAACACTCCAGCTGACAAGAGCAGAGCAGCCCCCAGCTGCCTCGGGAATGCAGCACAGCAAACGCAGGAGAGTACGCCCAGTTTGCCGCCAGTCACCAGGGTGAGCACCACTCTTCACTTGATCCTCCGGGCTTGGGCTGTACTTTCTAGAACTAAAGCATGCTTGTTGTTGAGTAGGTCAATCACAGTTCCCTGGAAAAAGCACAGGTAATTTTTCCCTCTTTGTCTTATGCAAAAAAATGGGAAGTAATGCCTTCAACTTCACTGCAATGTCCCTGTCACTGGATGACGATAGCGCACAACGAATTCACCCACAGTTTGAGCAGCGGGTTTTGTTCTTCCTGATCTGGACACACAGATGAGGCAGAAACCCGTGCTCTGTTTACCAGGCAGCAACGTAAAAGCGTTCTGAACCAAGTCCTCCAGGTGAACACCAAGTAGGCTGTCCTGCAGAGAAAGCCTGTAATTTGTGATGCTCTGCCAAGCCTGTGCCATGAAGGTTTGTGCGTTCTAGAAACCCTGCTTCTGATTCAAAGCTAATCGTGTTCTCCACTACTTACCTTTCATTGTTAGTGTTCAGTGAAAGAGACAAACACTGAATCAGTAATTTCACCAGCAACAATAATGCCTACAGAGGACAGAGCCCGCCTTTCTTTCTTACCTTCTTGAGATAAAAAAAAGATAAAATTTAGCAACATAATCCTTTCATTTTCTTTTAAAAAGTGAATTCTTAAACCTTCCTTTTTTCCTAACACTAATGGACGCATAGTTGCAGCCAGGAAAGGACCAGGACAGTTGTATTATGAAATATGCTGCTTATCTTGACAACTATTTATTTTAAGTATGTAAGAGATAGTAGACCTGTGTTTTGTTCATAGGACTAAGCATAAACATTTTGTCAAGCGGCTTGCTCCCGATTCCCTTTAGTTCCCTCTGTGCCAACGGACAACTCCTTATACAATGCTGCCCTTTTCTTCTAGCCGTAAAACAGGACAAGTACTTTCCTATAACAGCAACAAGAGAGTTAGAGGAGTTAAATTCTGCTCTCAGATGCAGCCAAGCAACTCCCTGAGCAGCACAGGAGTTATAAACATCCATCTATAGGAAGGATGAACTCAGCAAAGGGATTTTATGTGGAAAGTGCTTTGAATACGAAGAGCATCATATAAACGCTGAGCAGCTTTGTATTTATAGCCAATGAAAGAGCTTTTACGACTCTACAGAAAGCCTGAACATTAACTAAAGAGTTTGAAACATCGTAGCAAATGAGATAACCTTCTACAGTACTTTCAGACAAACGCTTTGACCTCGTCCGTCATGCCCACTCACTTCACTCTGTGCTCTCCATGGCCATGCAAGGGGAAGCGCTGTGTGCTCACACAGTAACTTGCCCAGCGTGTTCTGGACCCTGAAATGAGGACTGCATCAAAACTACTTCTGAAATAGATCTCACTGTGTTCTGTACAGGATACAAGGGGATTTTGGAAGACTTTCACCTTTTACCACTTCACAACTTAGGAAAGCCAAATTCGATGTAATGAAATCCATCCTGTGAACATTTGTTTTATCCTAAAATTGCCTGTAACTTTATAAGACATGCATATTAGCAGATGAACTAGATTGTATGTACGGTGCCCGGACTACAGCATGGCCAAATACCTGCTGTCTCTGAAACAGAATGGCAAAATTCTTTTTTGATACAAATGGACCTAATGACCCATGTGTACTGTGGTTAATCCTGTTACACATTAAGTTGTTTTGTGTTGTTGTGGTACACTGACTTGATTTAATATGCAGCAAACTGAACCTCTACAACATTTTTTAATATGAGGTCTCAACTTTAGCCTTTTATTTCAAAATGCTGGTGGAGGTACCTGGGATTTTCTTCCTAACAGCAGTTGAAGTCAAAACGAAGTTATGATAGCATTGTCACCTAACAAAAAGCAACATATGTGGAAAGCTGTTAATAAGAAAGTAGTAGTAAGCAGGGAATAACTTACTCAGCAAACTTGGAAGATGCCTCAAGCATTTACGTACTCCATGGTTCTACAAAGACAGTATTTTGCAGATCAACACATAGAGAGAGATTATTGCAGGAAGTAGGTATCGGGAACAGACTGGAATGCTCTAACCTGTTCATGCAGCTAATGTCATTAGAACGTGTGCGTGTGTGCAAATGTGTCAGTGTCTCCCGTATAATATTAACTACCTCACTCTGCCTTCTCCAGGAAAAAAGTATTTTGGCTTAGAGATTTAATACTTCAAAGCTTTTTTTTAATAATTTTACCTTTCCACTAGTCTTTACATTGATAAAATGTTTCTTCTTCTATGGGGCAAGATTTGGAAATTAACAAAAAACATATTTAAAAAAATAAATTAAAAGACATTTCAGGATATGGACGAAATTTTATCCAAACCCTGTTTCCTCAATTACTGCTTGTAATGTGAACCTTATGAGGTCAGAACTTGGGGTTAATAGGTAACAAATACAAACATACTGTGTTTCAGTTTTTACTTTTCAATGGCTTTCCATTAACGTGTGTCTTGTCTGGAAAATAATACAATGTCACTAATCAAAGCAAAATGTTTGTATGTACGTTTCCCTCACACTCCTCATTGTGTTGTATGTTTTGTTGAAGTAAGCCCACATGTAAGTCTGTTTGTACAGCAGAATGTGTCCAGCATATTGTACCCATGTCAAAAATAAAAACAATACCAACAAAGAAAGCTCTTCACATCTAAACACGTGGGTTTCGGATAGAAGCAGGTGACAGAAACTGCAAAAAGCGGTGGTGATCCTGTCCTTAAAAGCAAATCTGTTGTTAATAGCACCCGAACAGCTACTACACATAGGAGCACATTCTGTCATCCTTGCTCCAGGAGCTCTTGGACTACCTCAATGCAAGGTATAATGGCACTGCTTGGAATCCTGCCTCATTGAAATCAATGGCAAACTCCTTTTGGGGTTTCATTTGAGACAGTATTTCTTGAACTAGTATGAAATACATAGAGAAAAACTGACTTTAGAATGAATTGTAAAGATACACAGTAAAAGCCAAACAAAACTGCAAGGAGCAAACAAAAATACTGCTCATTCAAAGAGAAAAAAGGAGATGGAAGTGACTTGTGAAGAACTATGTTTACTATAGGTGCGTTTTCAAGTACGAGACACGTTTGTCAGTGCTCAGTGATCTGGCCAGTTGATGCATGGATGTCCTTACTCCAGTCAGATTGCGTGTGTGTGCCCCAGACCTGGCTCAGGCACAACTGGAAGCCTCATTTTAGAAACAGAGGCAGGCACATTAGGAAAAGGTAAAGACAGAACTGCTGACTGGCCTGTGAATTAGGAATCGCAGAGCACTAAAGGTCCTTCCCAGTGTCCTGTAAGCAATACTGTTTGCCCAAGAAAGATGCATTAGTTCTCACTGCCAAAATACATAGTTGTTCCCAAGCCAGACACAAACTGTTTCTTCACCAGCACATTACACAGAATCATAGAATCATAGAATGGTTTGGGTTGGAAGGGACCTTAAAGACCATCTAGTCCCACCCCCCCTGCCATGGGCAGGGACACCTTCCACTAGACCAGGTTGCTCAAAGCCACATCCAGCCTGGCCTTGAACACTTCCAGGGATGGGGCATCCACAACATCTCTGGGCAACCTGTTCCAGTGCCTCACCATCCTCTCTGTGAAGAACTTCTTCCTGATATCTAATCTAAACCTCCCCGTTTTCAACTTGTACATCTGCATCTCTGTGCTGTGGAGTTGCTGCTCATCTTGCAGCTGAT